GCTATAAGATTCCTCAGGATCACATCTAGTGATGATTGTCTTTTCTCGTGCAAGACTTATGGAGATGATTCATATTTATCTCATATTTTTATTACATGGTTAAAGAAATGTTAAATGTCTAGATTTGATCGAATGCAGATTGCGCATCAACCTAGCATTTATGTTTTGGACACTCCAGGAGTGTTGGTACCAAGTATTCCAGATATTGAGACTGGGTTGAAACTAGCACTAACAGGTCATGCCACTTTTTAAGTTACAATATCTATTTTGTCATTGTTGTTTGTTTTATTCTTTTACATTTGGATATTAGAAATAAGTGGTCATGTGATGAGACAAATTCAGATTGCAAGGTGATGGAAGCGCCAAAGGTTTCTACTGAGATAAAAATGTGTGTATGCCCTAGGCAGTTCATAGAAATTACCAAATTATTAAATGTAACCCAATGTTGTGTATTTAGGCTGTGCTTGATTAGAGAAAAAAAATAAGATATTGAGATGTTTGCCCATGGGTAAAATTATTCTGGAAATGCTCTGGGCATAATGTAATGTTTAAAGCACATAAACAGATCAAATAACTTCAAGAAAATGACTTCGTCATGGAAACCTCAATGAGTCATGGAAAATATTTTGCTCTATCAAAATGCTTTTAGTTGATTTTATTGAAGAAATCATTAAGTAATTCCCAGGAATCTAATCTGTCTATAACCAAAGTATTCTACAAGCATTGAGTTCAATACTTCTCATTTTTACAGCTTAATATGAAGTACTTTGGTACCACATGAAATTTGCAGTGTCACTTAGTTGTCTATTTATATCTTCATAAGCTATTGAAATAGGTTTATGCTATAGATGCCCTTTTTGTCTTAACCGCAAAAGAAGAGGTATGAGATGAAATTCCAAAACGTCATCGTCATATGTATTCCACTGAGTTGAGATAGCTTCTATAGTTCTATATATCTTTCTATTCACATTTTATTAATCTGTAAAACCATAAGGAACTACTTTTCTTTTTGCTTTCATTGACAGTTTCATTTTTCTTAAACTACCAAATAATTGATGAGTGTGCAAATCTGAAAAGAACCACTTTTTTGAATATATTATTATTCAGGGTCTGTAAAAGATTCTGTGGTTGGCGAAGAGCGAATTGCTCAATACTTATTGGCAGTTTTGAACACTAGAGGCACTCCTCTTCACTGGAATCGCCTAATGAACCAGGAATCTAATGGTCTTCACCGTGATACTCGTGACAAACCTGAATACAATCTGAAGGATCATCTTCTAAGGAGTAGGAATCGTGTATTAGATAAATCTGATTTGCACTACATTGAGGTAATCTGAAAGTGTTACTGCGTGTGCCATCACTTATTGAAAGTCCAGATTTTATGTTGAATTGATTGTTTCATTTCCAACACAATTAGAAAACTTTAAGTTACTGGTATTTGGTACTCTCCTCGAATTATATTAAGGTAATTGTAACTTTCCCTGGGTGGAGAATAAGATGCATGTCATCTCTGTTGAAAAGAGTTCATTGGAATTTGAATAAACCTTACAAAGCCAACTGCCAAGAGACACCAAACGTAATAGGGATCTCTTTCCTACACTATTAAAGCTTTCCAATTTCAATCAAGAAAGTCTAACATGATAGAAGGAATAATCCCAATCTTCTATGATGATTTATTATTTAAATTTAGCATATGTGTGGTAAGTGCTTTAATGTACGCTTTAAATGCTTATAAAAAGTCATGGTAGATGCTACTCACTCGTCACTCACACTCAACCCCTCCCAAAGTAGAAGATTCAAGGTATGCATGTTTGATTTGATGAATATCTCTCTGGTTTACATGCAGGATATGGTTAGTGCAGTTAAACGGGCGCTTTATGTCACTCTCTCAGAGTTTGATGGTGATTTAGAAGAGGAAAACCAGTTAGAGATTCTTATAGATAAACAATTTGAAGCTTTGCAGAAGGCATTTAGAATATCCAACAAGGCATCAGAAGCTCGTTTAATGATATGCAAGAAATTTATTACTTTGTTTAGGACAGGCAAACTAGGTACCTTCATTCTTGACGACTTGCCTCTTTCCCCACGCTCTGTTCCATGAAATATATTTCAATAGCGTTTTCCCCTAATGTTTCAGTAGCGTGGAAGTGTATTTTTTTGTTATTAAAGTTGTGAAGAACTAATTTAACTAAGGTATCAAACAAAGATAAAAGGTTGTTGGTATATAATGCTCTATTGGGAAATGGCGTAGTTCTTCCTGCAATATTTTATTTTAAGGTACTATTCATTTTAAGGAACATAAATAGTCACATAGGAAACATTACACGGAGTAATACACTCGTGTGATAAATCAAAATGGAAATCTCTACTAAAATGCATTCACATATGCAGTATATATATTAGTATATTACGGAGTATATATACATGGGCTGAGCGGCCTGAGCCTAATGTACATCCAACTTGAGAACCCTTCATTTTACAAGTGCATCATTCCCTACAGTCCAACACAGTTCTCGAAGTGATCCCTAAAAATCTTAAGTAAATGTGATCCCTAAAAAAGCAACAACTCAAATATAAGGCTTTGTCATCTTTTCTACTACGGAGTATATTTTAACCAATTACATATGGGCTTGTGAAGGAATGAGCATCCAACTTGAGAACCCTTCATTTACAACTTGAGATCCCTAAACAACAGTGCCTATACCGTGCAACCGGTGCATGGTGAGCACCATGCATCCATTGTTATATGAGATGTAAATCGTGTTATCCTACATGTAACTTCAAGTTAACCAAAATGTAAATTACATTCATTCGCTTGTAACTCGTTGAAATGTAAACTGTATCAATTGAAATGTAACTTGAAAACAAATTAGATGTAACTTGAGATATGTAACTTTAGACCATTGAAATGTAAAACGTTTTTCACAGAGATGTAACTATATATATATATATATATATATATATATATATATATATATATATAAATAATCAACTCCAATATTCCTCATGAGGAACAAGCATGGACAGCCGATTATGCAGCTGCTCCATTATTGAGGTGCTAAGGTTTTGAATCGGAGCTATTTCCTCCAACCTTCGATCTTTGCCACTGGGCAACAATTCTGCAGGCGGATGGGCAAGGTCTGGGGTCTGTGAAGGTTGGGGCGGCCAGATGACGATGGAGAGTGCTGTTGGGGAGGGGGAATGATGGTGAAACTGTGCCGTTTTGTGACCGGGCACACCATCCTCATGGTGCGCCGGTCGCACGGTATAATTTGCGCCTAAACAAGTAACAACTCAAACTGGAGGCTTTGTCATCTTTTATACAATATTCTAACCATTTAAGACACTGATCAAACCATTTGTAGTTAAAGTGTCTTAATTCTTAAAGTCTTCCCGTTTCATTTAATACATTAATACATTTTATTTAACCATCACATGGAGTAACATATTATTTACATGTAGGAATTTTAACGTACAAAATGACATAGTTTAAGCTACAAAGAGAGCGGAGGGGCAATCAGCTATTCCTCCTCTCTTTTTTTCGTTTTCTTTTCTTCTTTCATTTTTCTTGCTTCAATCGTGAAAAAGATTTTGTTTAATCAATATTTTCAGTTTTTACCTATACGTTTATTTCCCAATGTTGTCTAGAGATGTTATTTTCGGCGGGGTGTCACCACCATCATTGTTGAGGTGTTCTTGTGCATATTTTGTACTAAACTCCTTACTTGTGGTTCTTTAAAAAAAAAAACTCCTTACCGGTGGTTGACAAAACATACAAAATTCATAATTCTTTTCGGTGATTGGTCAAATTGGACTCATTTTGAATAGTATGAGCAATCACACTGCGATACGAGTCTACATGATTGCAGAGTTAGCGAACAACGCCTTTATGGAACTTTTCTTATTCTTTGCCTTATCCTAATATAGCATTGAATTTTATGATTGTAATGCTTAAGCTTTTGATTGCTATGTTACTTGTTAGCCTTATCAATAGTAATTAAGTTGTTTTCTTTTAAAAAATATACTTAAATGACATTTTCTATTTTCTTAGTTTAGGTGAATAAATAATCCTATAAAAATTTAATAACAATATAGTGAGTTTAATAACATGATTTAATATTAAAATAAAAATCTGTGTATGGTCTTAAAAGTAAGAGCTATGCTCGGTGTACCCCATTTTGGGTATCCCATTTGTACCTAACCTATTGTGCATTTATGCTGTTCATAAGTCTATCATATAAATGAGTCGCCCACTTAAATGAATTTTCTCGTTTAAGCCACACAATAGGGAGTTCAACCGTACGTCTTACAAATGAAATACCCAAAATGGGGTTCAGCTCCTATCTATTTCTTTCTCTCCATTTCTCCTTCATTTCTTTTTTACTTCCTATCTATCTCTACCTTTTTCTCTATCCTACTCACCAACCTACCCCACCCTTAATTCTCTCCTCTATATCTCTCATACTGGAACTCTCCAGTTACGGGAGAGGATCCAAATTCCCCAAAATGGGGTACCTGCGTTATTTTTCAAATCACTCAAATCACACATAGGGTTACCTATCAAACAAGTACGTAGCCCATTCAAATTGATTAATTGATAAAAGGATTAAAATTGAAGTGAACTACACTACGAGCCCGTTTGGAGAACTCTGTTTTCGGTTTATCAGGCTTATCAGCCAGCTTTTTCACCAAACACGTAAATTTTACTTTCGCGCGCTGAATTGTGTAATAAGCCGAAAAAGTAAGGTTGGAGTTACTTTTCTGGCTGTATTGGCTGAAGTTACTGTAGAGGACCATTTTAGCTATTTTTACATATAATTTTTTCTTTAATTTATTAATAAAATATATTTTTAAAATATTTTTTTTCTTAAATCAGCAGAATCAGCCAAAACAGCCACTCCAGCCAGAATATCATAAATTTCAGCAGAATCAGCCAAAACAGCCGATTTTGGTGCTACCAAACGGGCTCTACAACTACTCAACTAGAAGAGAGCAAATGCGCGGTCCGGTGCAGCTATCCTCTTGGGAGTTGGAGTCTTGGTCCTCTTCGTATCCTGCTGCTGTGCTACAGTTAGGCGCGCACAGGCCATAATCCGAATTTTACTCCAGCGGTTGATTGTCCTCATCTTTGGCCAAATTCATGTTTTCAATTTCCCAAAGTAGGCTTGCTGCTCTCGTGGATGCTCACATACCAAAGTAGCTGAAGAAATGGCAGACAGAGGTTCGGTGCTGGCTACGCTCTGCAAATCTCAATGGCCCAAGCTTTTCATCTCCAGTCATATTGTCTCAAGACCCCTGCTCTTACATTCTGTTTACCCAAAATCCTGGTACTTCCTCTCTTAATAACTCTCTTCATTTTTAAAATGTATATCAGTATATGATGAATAAAAATTTGATTTTGGCCTGTTGGGGCATTCTAGTCTAGGCAATTTGATATGCAAGGTATTCTGGAGAGGGGCGGTAATCAGGCCAGATTACGGACCCAAAAGTTGTAATATCTGGGGGATGCACTTGGTTCGGTTTCTATCCACACTCCCCGGAGCTCCAGAGTCGGGAAGTAGGGGCAACATTGCAGTTGTTGATGATTGTTTAAACAAATCTGCGGAATTGAAAGTGAAAAGAAAGAAACTGAAGGGTAGAAGGGCTGTGGTGAAGTGGTTGAAGTGCTTCAGGTGGAAGAAGAAGAAAGAATTCCAGAAGATGACCGCTGAGGAAAAATTGCTTTTCAATCTGAGAAAAGTAAGCGAACACTTATACCACCTCACTATATATGACTCCCAAGTGAAACAGAATTCAGGACGGTTTCTAGATTAGTTCTTTTGAATAATGTAAATGTTAAGACATCCTGCCTCACAAATATAAAGATACAAATTCCTATAAAAGACCTTAGACACCTCCAACCATCACTAGACCTTTTAGAACTGAACATTTAGACCAGAAGTCATAATGTAATTGTCAAGACATCCTGCCTCACGAATATAAATGATACTTCATATTAAAGTTCATTATGCTCAAACAAGGAACTTGGTATGATTAAAATTTTGTTTGCTCCAAAAGGCTATCATTTTGGGGGCATGTTTGAACTATTCCAATCTTTCAGGATGAAACTTCGAGTGTATATGGTTATGGTTCTTAGATTGTCTCGGCTCTACATGATTTCAAGTTTTCAAAGTGACTTCACAATGATGGAAGCTCTATATCATTATCTGCTAGACTGCTACAGACCTTAAGTTGGAGTTTAGTCAATGGTCGTGCAATTTTAAAGCTACATTTGGATTTTGGATTGATGATTTGCTTGCACATAACTCTTTAATGTTCAGAATAATATATGGAGCACAATTTATAAGTGTATAAATGTCATTTGGTATTATCCTGCCAGAACCTAAACTACAAGCATATTTTAGACGTAAAAATTACGCTTATTGGTTTTCTGATTTTGTCTTGGTTCTAGGCACGCAAAAAAGAAGAAAGGCTTCTTGAAGCTTTAAAGAAGATTGAACCCAAGGAAGAGTCTGAAGCCACCCATGATCCCGAGATATTGACACCAGAAGAACACTTCTACTTTTTGAAGATGGGGAAGAAATGCAAGAATTATGTGCCTGTTGGAAGACGTGGGATATATCAGGGTGTGATTCTTAACATGCACCTCCATTGGAAGAAGCACCAAACACTTAAAGTTGTTGTCAAGACATTCTCCCCTGAGGAGGTTAAGGGAATTGCTGCAGAACTGGCAAGGTTAAGCGGTGGCATCATTCTTGATATTGAGGATGATAATACCATCATTATGTATAGGGGAAAGAACTATGCTCAACCGCCGACAGAGATAATGTCCCCCAGAAGCACTCTTTCTAGGAAAAAGGTTGTTCGTCTTGCTTCATTACTTTCTATAATAAGTTTAGGAAAATTGGTAGCAAAAGTATATTTATGCCATTACTGCATGTGATTACGACAAAAGTATGACCGTTTTTTTTCTTCCAAGAAATGACTAAATCATTTCAGAACCCTAAATAAATCCTTTCAGCTCCCCCAACCCTCCTCCTTGTGGCCTTGTGCCACCACCCTGCCACTGCCAATTTTTCCCCGCAATGTCGTCCGAAAAAGTTGCTGCCAGTCAAAGTGACATGTGGGACTGCATCACATGCAGTGATTGCATATCACTGGTGGCTTAACCAGTAGTGATTATCAAAAGTGACAAATATATTCACTGTTTTGGGATTATCAAAAAGTAGTCATATGTTGTCTTTAACTTTTCTTTTACACATATACGGGGCCAAGCCCCAAATATTTATCTAATTTACTCATAAGTTTTATATTTCGAAGCTAACATTGCCATCAAATTACTTTGACTACTCAGGCTCTGGATAAATCCAAATATAGAGATGCCTTGAGAGCTATCAGGAGATATATACCTAGACTTGAGCATGATCTTGAGCTGCTTCGAGCACAAGCAGGGAACCATGCCAGACTTCCTGAAGAAAATAAATCAATTGGATCCGAGAGTTTTGATTCTGATCACCAGTTACATTTGCAAGCTGAGGCATCCAAAAAATTGAATGCAGTATTGTCTCAAAATGGCCAACATGATGATGAAAATGACTCGGAGGAATCTGATCTGGGTGAAGATTCTGAAGATCTTTCAGATATTTTTGAGACCGATGAGTCTGAGGATGTGAATGATGAGGATAGTAATGAGGGACCCTCCCTTTATCTGGATGAATTTGAAAAGTTTCCAGTTCATAACAGTCGGGAAACAGAGGATTTTGAGGAACATTTGCGTCAAATATCCGCTGATTCAATGAAAGGGAAATTCCAAGGTGGAGATCGAAAGGCATCAGATCTAGATGAATTTGATAAGATGATCCTGGAAGCTGCATCACTTTTGAAGAAAAACAGGAGATGAAAAGCCTCCTTATACTGGTTAGTCAGCTCTTTCTTTGGAACTTCTGAAACATGAGAAGTTTGGGGGATGTAATTATAAGAGAAATATCTCCTCCAACAAGTCTAAATGCCATGATAACGATTATGAAAGATATAATTCCGACAATGACCAGGTTACCTGTTACTGATCACAACAATGTGCAACTTCCATGGAACAGTACAAAAAATGTAAAATAATTCTAAATAATACCTACTATTACCATCAACCAATAATAATGCATAGTATAGTAATAACATTTCTTACCTCAACTATTTAAATATATAAAAAATGATATGGAGCCACTTTTTACTATAAATCTGGTCACTTAACACATCAATAACTGGTACTAGACTACCTAGTAAGTGTTAGGAACCAAAGTAGAAGAGATGGAAATTGACGTAGAATTCATAAAATGGAAAAGAGAAAGATACAGGAGAGACCGTTCGAGTCGTCTCAACACTCCCAGGGGCTAATTCCAATCCAAATTCTGCCTACCCTCTTATTCCATTCCCACTCCTATTTATAATAAATTCCCTTATGGGCCGGCCCAAGCTAATTAGTACCTAGCCCAAACCCTTATTTATACAATATCACACCCCTTAGTAATTCTACTATTATAATTCTTATTGGAGTTCCATGTCCCTATCATATCTCCCCCCTTGAATAACCACCTTGTCCTCAAGGTGGGTGATAGGAAACAGCCTTGATCTCCAAATTCATCTTCATCCTGGTGCCTCTTCCTTTCCAGTACCTCCCGAATTTTTGAATCTTTAGCTCTAGTACTTGAAGCTGCATCTTCATGTTCTTCACTGCAAGGAGCATAAACAAGGTCCTGGAGGCAGAAAGCTCTCTTTTGTTGCAAAAGTTTGAATCTTCCAGCATATGTGTTTCCTGTTGTATCCTTTGCTTTTGTTGCAACATCTTTTCCAGAGAATTGACCATACCTTGGACAAGACTTTGAACAAGTTCAAAAGCATATGATCTCTTCAAGGTATATCTTTTCACCAGAATATGCTGGTCTCTAAGTCTCTGAGCCATGAGTTTGGTTCTTTCAGAACATATTGAGGGTAAGGCACAACCTGCTACCTCACAGAAAACAACACTTATTTGCTTATGAGCATCTTCAGCATAATCCAGCAGTGTCTTCCATAAAACAGAAATAATCTGAGGAATTTCATCTCTAAAGGGATCACAGAGCAAACCAGCTTTAACCTTTTCAAGGAAACCCATCCGAACTTCAGTTGTTCTATCAGTAGATCTCTTTAGGACTTCCAGAAATACTGGTTGAAAAGCCTCCTTGATTATACATTTGGGCAAAGCAAAGATATTATCAAGCAAGCTAACCACCTTTATTAATGCATCCCTCGTATCAATCTCCTGTTTGAATTGCAGCATAGAGGATATACAAGTGTGGACTGCTCGTTGACCCCCATCAGCAGCCCCTGTCAAATACTTGCCGGCTAGCTTCAAGTCCCTTTTAACCCCAAGCTCTTTCAGATGCATAACGATGCAATTCCCAAGATGAATCAAATATCCTCCCTCATTGTTACCGGAAAGGGTCCTTCCCTTCACTCCAACCAACGAATGCGGAGGGTTGTTTCTGTAGCCCCCCTTTTCCTTCCATCCCCTCTTGTCTTCTTCTCTGTACTTTCCTCTCCTTTTCAGAAAGCCAATAGCTCGTGTAGGATCCTGCGGAACTTCAGCCACCACATACTCCTCATTTTCTCCAGTTCTGCTAAAGTCATCTGTATGGACAGTACCTATAGAACTGTCCACAATGCAACTGTGCTTTTTAATCTTTGTTATCCTTCCATGTTTGTTTAGTCCCTGAGTAGCATCAGTGTGTGAATAGATGATTCCCTGGAGCTTCTTTCCATCGTTCCCCTCTGCTATTTTCTTATTTTCCTCTATAGGGGTAGTCCTGGCACCAAAGTATAGCGAATTTGTTATCACAGTGCTCCATAATTGTTCTACTTCCTGAGATATTGCAACATCATCTACTGGCTGATGCATTGTGGCAACCATATGGCGCGTGTCTGATTTTAATTCATTTTCTAGGACATTGGTGAATGCCGCATCTGTCATTCTGCCATTAACTGAGCCTTCTGAAGTATTTGGACCAGTAATTTTATCATCAGAGGCTTGATTCACCACAGGAGATTTCTCCTTCCCTCCCTCATCCATGAACTCATCTTTGGAGGGAAGTTGTAGCTGACTCATATACCTCTGAAGGAACAAAGCTAACTCAACTTGCCTAGTGTGAGAAGCTGAAATCTAGGGGTGAGCATCGGTCGGGTTCGGGTCGGGCGGGTTGGTAAACCCAAGACCCTGTCGGGTTTCGGATGGGTAAATTGGATATCCTACCCTATCTTTTTTTTCTTTTATAATTTCGGGTTATCTTGAAATTCGGGTTGGGCGGGTTCGGATCGGGTTTCGGGTTTAGTCGGTTTAATATTTATAACAGTAATAAATGAATAAAAATGAAATTGCCGCACATTATTTGATTAACATACAAAATCCGAATACATACAAAAAAAGCAGATTAACATACCAATTTTTTTTTTGGACAGAACATTTTAAAATGCAGATTCAGTTGCCACAGAATATGATAGAAGTGTGCACAAATTACATAATTACACAAAGTTCCAACTTCCAAAGTTCCAAGTATGCAAAACTAATGCATCCAATTATCCAAATGTCCAATTTCCATTTCTCAGAATCTCAACCAACCCACTCAGTTGCTTTACTTGCTTGAACTCTTGAAGTTCCACACCTCCATGGCTCCATAGCTATTTTCCACACTTAAGTTTCCATCTGCATACAAATATCAATTAATGAACACATTGAATTGATTGAAACTTAAAAGCAATACACAAGGAGGACTCAAGGATAAGTTAATGAAATAAATAAGGAGGATCAGTGGCTCAGAATGCTTGTTATCCTTCACAAGGAATACAGGGGCAACTGCTTCAATTTCAGTTACAACTTACATGTTATGAACTGAAAGAGCATTACCAACCCTAAACCATACATTCAGTAATGTGTGGAAGCTTCATCATAGCCAATGAAAATTAATATAAATGATAGAGTCAAGGATTAATAGGATAAAGAGACACTTACTCAAAACCTGGAAATCAGATCAAGTGACAAGGCCCAAGGGTCCAGGGACAACAGTTCACAGTTGGCAGCATGTGCATTGTTTCCATAATGACAGAATCATACTCATTCAAATGTAACAAGCACACAATACATTATACATGCATATAGGGATTCACAAGTACAACAAAAAAAGACATGTCAGCTACATTAGTACACAGTTCATGCAATATATTTAACAATTTAAGTATTACACATGCATACTGGATATAACATATACAGATAACAAATATACTTGACAGCTTCCAAAGTCACCAACATTTGCAATTCAGTGGACAACTTACACTTACCATTTTATGAAGTGAAACTCTGAAAGAGCAAGGGAAATAGGGGGCATCTGCTAAGGCTGACATTTCATAAAGCTCAGAATGCTTATTATCATTCACAAGGGAAATAGGGGGCATCTGCTACAATTTCATATACAACTTACAATTTTATGTACTGAAAGAGCAATACCAACCCTAAACCCTATATGCAGTAATGAGTGGAAGCTTCATCATAGCCAATGCCAAATAATAGAGCCAAGTACTCATGTTCAAACACATTGACATGGGAAATAAAGCACATAATTACAAATATGTACAATAAATAAAAGAAATATGTACACTTATTGGCACAATAGAGGCTCCAGTAGGAGCAGAAGCTCCACCACCAACATTTCCATCCATGATTTCTGTAAGAAAGAAAGACATTGTTAGAATTTAGATGCTTCAGAAATCAGAATAAGTAAATAAAAATACATAAATCTAATACCTTTTTCCAGCCTTTCAACATCATCAATGTTTTCTTCAACTGAGACAGGCTGGTGAGCCTTTCTCAACCAATCTTGTGCACAAATAAGGGCTTCCACAATTTTACAACTTAATGAACTCCTAAAACAGTCCAAAACCCTCCCACTTGTACTGAAAGTGGACTCAGAAGCAACTGTTGAAATGGGAACACCAAGTACATCCCTAGCCATTCTAGAAAGTATAGGAAACCTTTCACTATTTAACTTCCACCATCTAAGAATATCAAAGTCCTGATCTTCCTCAATAATGGACTCAGCTAGATAAATTTCAAGTTCAGATTTCTTAACTCCTAACTGACCACTCTCAAGCTTCTTCTTTTTAAGATCAGCCTTAAACCTGGACACAGGCCTACTTTCAGAATTACCAGAATCCATAGATGCTCCAGAAATAAAAGTTGAATTCTGACTTCCACCAACACATTCAGAATAACTTGACACATAATCAACAAATAACTCAGTTAGACCAGACTTCACTTTCAGAAAGAATTCAGCACCTTTTGTTTCACCATATAAAGCATTCAGCTGAAATGGCATATACTCAAACTTGTCCCTAGGATCTAAGACATTTGCATAAAAGATAAGAAAGTTCATCTTCTCAGGATCACCCCAGTACTTATCTAATTTTGATTTCATAGTAGTCCCCATTGCACTGACAGAAGCAGTTGGAGAGGCAACCATATCTTTTAGGACAAGGAACAAGTCAGAGATTTCAGAAAAAAAGGTATTGGAAGTTACATAGAGTGAGCCTGAAATTCTAAGTGTCATTTCATAAAAACTTTGGAGAATGGTCACAAAAGATTCAACAGCAATCCAGTCTAAAACATCAGGAGTGTCATTACCCAAATCAGTACTAAATGCAGTTTCATTCTCCTCATAGGCTTCAAATACTTTCTCATTAGAAATAGCAGATTTCAGCATCAGGTAAGTGGAATTTCACCTAGTTGGAACATCCAGGTGCAGACCACACTTGGCTTCCACTCCTATCAAATCAGATAAATCTTTGAACTTTTGAAGCCTAGCAGGTGAGTTCCTAACATACTTAACAGCTTCCCT